CCTGCTGGGGTCCGACGATCCTTCCGCCTCAGCCTTCCGAGTAGCTGGAACTACAGGCGCGCGCTACCATACCCAGCTCATTTTGATTTATTGTAGAGATGAGGTCTCGCCAAGTTGCCCAGGCGGGTCTCGAACCCGCAGGCTCAAGCAATCCACTCATCTCAGCCTCCCAAAGGCGCAGGATTACAGGCTGAGCCACCGAGCCTGGCTTGTCCCTCCCTTTTTAGCTATTAAGTATGTTTCATCTTTTTTTTAAGCTACTAAATACATTTCTCCTACTTAGGGAAAAAACTTCACGGGAACAAACGCCTCCAACCAGTCATTAAAATTTACAAGTGAATCTAATATATTTAAAGATTATCTAAAATATTAAATATTTCTCCATTTCCCTTGTTTTTGCCACCTGTACTTCTCAGTGTAAGGGTTCTACATTCCATTTTCATCATTTGTGACCTTTTCATGCATTGATTTTATCTGAAAAATAGGAATAATGGGACCATCTCATTGGGTCACCAAGAAGATAGAATAAGTTAACATATACACTACCTCGTACAATACCTAAGACATTTTAAATGCTATTAGCTATGTGTTTTGGATCCTCAGCAGCCAAGAATACTGGACACAAAGATGGTGCTTAAGTGTATGTTGAATAAAAGAACGGACAGAATTCTTTGCTTACCTGAGAAAAGTAATTTGGCAGATTCCTAACCCCTCAATTGTCTTTTGAAGAAAACAGGTAGGAGGTAATTAATGGTAAACACACAAGTTGCATCCATCTGCCACCATTCCATACCAATTGTAATTCTTAACACACCCTACAATATTCAGCCTCTTCTTTGGGACTTCTACCTACATACCTAACCGACAGTTCAGCAGATTTACAGAGCACACCCAAGTGGCTGGGATTTCCTGCAATCTCCTGCATATTAGAACTACCCAGCTGAACTAAGTACCACATGTTCCACATGTTCTCACTCATAAGTGGACCTTGAATAGTAATACTGTAAGAAAGGGATTGGCAGTAATGGGAAGCTGCGGAGGGGTACCTCATCAACAAGGGTAACTGCAGAATGACCATTCGTATACCTAACCCTGAATTGTATCCATCTTTAAAATAATTAAAAAAAAAAAAAACTACCTAGCCAAACACATTGCTTTCATTATAACCAGAAAAGAAAATTTTAAAATGTCACCTTACACTTTCCCAGTTATTTCTGGCCAGTAGCATTTTCTATACTCTGGCAGCAGTTTAATGGCACATCACAGGTACCACAGGCCAGAATGAGTAAGGTATGTTTCCTGTTTACTAGCTTTAGCTCTTGTCTCTGAACTTTAAACTCTTTTCTCAATGAAACAATCGTGACTGTACAAAAAGTACTTATAAAAAGCCTACAATTCCAGTACTTTGGGAGGTCGAGGCAAGAGGATTGACTGAGCCCATGGGCTCGAGACCAGCATCTTTACATAAATCAAAAACAATTAGCCGGGCGTAGTAGTACACGTTTGTAGTTCAGGCTACTTGGAAGGCTGAGGCTGAAGGATTGCCTGAGCCCAAGGCAAGGTCGAGGCTGTGGTGGCTGGGAGCGTGCCACTGCACTCCAGCCTGGGTGACAGAGTAAGACTACAACTCAAAAAAAAAAAAAAAAGTGAAATGATCCTATAGCACATCATCATTACCTAAAAGGCCCTACATATCATAAACCTAAAAACCACCACTCCAAAATGCCTTCAACTGAATCATGCAGCATCACAAGAAATGGTACACCAGCACCTGTAATATTGTGTTCTTCATGTCACACCCCTTAAGAAATGTAATTGGAGCTAGTCAACCTGGAAGGAAAAATAACCCAAGTAGTGTGAAAAGTCCACTTCTCTTTTGCAACTCAGATTTGGGAAATTGCAATTTTGGCTAAATTCTGGATATTTAAACTTGCTGTTGACCAAGTAGATAATAAGCAAAAACTTCCTTAACCAAGAGACTGTAACATTTTCAACTATGGAAACAGATTAAGAGACCAGTAGTCAAACCAAGCAATTTTTACCAAAATTTAAGATTTCAGGTTGAGCATGGGGGCTCATGCCTGCAATTCCAACACTTTGAGAGGCAGAGGTAAGAGGACTGCCTGAGCCCAGGATTCCAGACCAGTCTGAGCAACTTGGTGAGACCTCATCTCTACAATAAATCAAAAAATTAGCCAAGTGTGGTGGTGCATACCTGCAGTTCCAGCTACTTGAAAGGCTGAGGTAGAAGGATCACCAAAGCCCAGAATGTTGAGACTGCAGTGGCCATGGATGTGCCTCTGCACTCTAGGTGACGGAGGGAGTCTCCAACAAAAAAAAAATGTGGGGGTGACATTTTGGGGTGACAGTTACAATGAAAGAAAACCAACAATGAAAAATAGCCAGCAGGGCTGGATGTGATGGTTCAAGCACTTTGGGAGGCTGAGGGAAGAGGATTGCCTGAGCCCAGTTCAGGACCAGCCTGGGCAACTTGGTGAGACCTCATCTCTACAACGTATTAAAAAATCAGTTGGGTGTGGTAGAGCTATCAAAAAATCAGTTGGGTGTGGTAGCGCGTGGCTGTGGTTCTGGCTACTTGGAAGGTTGAAGTGGAAGGATCACCTGAGCCCAGCAGGTCAAGGATGCAGTGGCCCCTGCACTCCAGCCTAGGCAAGAGAATGAAACTCTGACTCAAAAAAAAAAAAAAGCCAGCAGTATCCACAGCTCTTCACAACAAATTGTACCATCACAAAATATCAGTAGTGCTCCCTAATTGATAGATACTAAGTAACTGAACAGGTAAAACTCTCCCTAATAAAAGCCTGACTCTACCAAGTATTCCACAACCTCAAATGAACTTCAGACACACACTAAAATCAGGAGATGTTACCGTGAAAGAAAGCAACTCCCTCACCTAACCAACTGGGACCATGACCCATTCACAGTTGTTCTATAGCTATTTAAGAGCTGGAATCCTGACACGACACCAAGGTGAGTAAATGATGGGTTTTCTGGATAGTATATAAAGCATCCTCACTTCTTATGCCTCCTTCGTCTGCAATAAAAAATTGCTTGGGAGAGGAAAGGAGGAAAGGGAGACTGATTTGAACATCCTAAAGACAGTTGTCAGCTGGGCTCGGTGGCTCAGCCTGTAATCCCGCCCTTTGGGAGGCTGAGGTGAGTGGTTTGCCTGAGCTCACGGGTTCCAGACCCACCCAGGCAACTTCATCTCTACAATAAATCAAAAAAGTTAGCCGGGCGTAGTAGCACGTGCCTGTATTTCCAGCTACTTGGAAGGCTGAGGCGGAAGGATCGCCGGAGCCCAGCAGGTGGAGGCTGTGCCGGGAGCGACGACTGCCCTCCAGTCTGGGTGACAGAGTGAGACTCCAACTCCAACTCCACAAAACAAAAAAAAAAAGGCAGTTGTCATTTCTGACAACTTGTGGCCTTCCTCAAAGCCCAGATTGAGTAGGGCGTACCGAATCAGCATAATTCAACTGTACATTAAGTTCTAAATCAATTTCCCCCAAATTCTTTCAACTGTTCCAAAAGTATTAATACATGTGGGAAAAGAGTTCCATGGGATATACTCTTGAGAGATGTAGTAAGAAGTTTCCCACAACTCTGAACACCATACTTCGGAGTACACCTTTTAGGACTAAATGACATAAAAAATACACTTAGGCAATCTTGGACTTAACACTTATTTGAAGATCTGAGATTATTCTGAAGTCGTCTGAGTTCATTTCTTCTATTCCAACCACTGTATAACCTTAGGAAAAATTCTTCTTCATTAAACAGAATAGAACTTTTCTCAGTCTGTGACAGCAATCTAGGTGGGGAAACGTTTTTTGCTATTCAGATTTGTTAAGTGACAATTTTGGCTAAATTGTGGGTATTTAGTTTTGCTGCTGCTTAAACAGATTCATGCTGGGCATGGAGGCTCACATCTGTAATCCCAGCACTTTGGGAGGCAAAGGCAAGACAACTGCCTGGGCCTACGTGGTTCAGGTCTAGGCAACTTGGCGAGACCTTTTCTCTACAATAAATCAAAAAAATTAGCTGGGCATGGTGGTATATGCCTGTAGTTCCAGCTACTTGGAAGGTGGAGGTGGAAGGATTGCCTGAGCCCAGCAAGTCGAGGTTGCAGTGGCCATGGTTATGCCACTACACTCCAGCGTAGGCAAGAGTGAGACTCCAACTCAAAAAAATAAAAATAAAAAATGCAGACACTGTCCTGAGCCTGGAATTATGAAAATTAAGTCACCCAAAAAATCTAGCACAAGGCCAGGCATGATGGCCCAAGTCTGTAATCCCAGCACTTTGGGAGGCCAAGGCAAGAGGATTACCTGAGCCCAGAGGTTTGAGACCAGCCTGGGAAACTGGGTAAAACCTCGTCTCTACAATAAATCAAAAAATTAGCCAGACGTGGTAGCGTGCACCTGTTGTTCCAGCTACTTGGAAGGCTGAGGTGGATCACCTGAGCCCAGCAGGTTGAGGCTGCGGTGGCTGGGAGTGTGCCACTGCACTCTAGCCTGGGTGACAGAGTGAGACTCCAAAAGGGAAAAAAAAAACAAAAACACCTAGTATCAGAGGAGAACTTGGTGTGCTCTCTTTACAAAAACTGGAATGGAAACTAGGACATGTAACTCTACCAAGAAGTCTTGCCACCATGTTTGCCTCATCCTCTACTCCTACCTTCAGAAAAGCACACTGAAGCAAAGATATAAAGAAAATAACTGAAATGGATACGATGCGTTTTAAAACAAGCTCTGCCAAGTTTTATTATAAAGAACAATTTTGCATGATTTACTTTTCACCAGTCTGTTCTGGCATGCTTCTAATGATATCAGAATCACCTAGAAAATAGAAATACAATAATTTTACAATTCATTTAATAGCAACTGGTAACCATGAAATTTCCCTACTTTAGTTACACCTTTAGACAAATCTGCGTATTAGCATAGATTATTTGCAAAATATTGCATTAGCTGTACTGTCAGTTTTCTTAAGGTTGACCAAAGATAACTTAAAATCACAGCCATCATATGATCATACAAAATGCTCACATAAAACAGACCTGGTTTATCACCAGCATTCATAAAACCAGACCTAGGGAAAGAACTAGGTCTGGGGACACATGCATGGTCTTAATATAGCGAATGTTTAGCCTGTCCTGACTATCACAAAATCAGAACAGCGAGAATATTCGCAGTATTTTATGAATTAACTAAAAATCTGTAAGTTCAAAACATAAGATGATGTGTATTTTTAGGCACTTTCCCCCTCAACCTAATTTTACATGTCTGTTCTCAGGTAGCAAGGATTACTTTCTTCTACTTCACCTGATTATTTCCCCTTTAAAATATCATCTTTTGCCAAATACTCATTATTTATTAGGAGCTTCATTAAATAAAATTTATCTCACAGTAAAAAAAATTTTTAACTTATAACAAAGCCAATTATGATGTACTGGCATTTATCACCATTTCTCTATGAAATACAACTACAGGGTATTCCTGTATCCCTATTTTCATTCTCTGAACTCAGGACAAAGATATTTGCATAGCAAGGAACACTTGCACAGATAACACATCCGGAAAGAAAAAATGATTTTGTGATTTAAAAAGCATACCTGGATCAATGATAGCCAGTGTGCATACTCTGTAGTATTTTCCACACGCTGTGCCCAATTCAATATTATTGCCACTGTAATGATGGACACCGGTTTTGGCCAACATAGCGTAGTACTCTATTTCAGATTTCCTTTGGGAACCAAAAAAAGGGGCAAGTAAGTACATACTCTACCAAGCAACTGACAGCCTAAATGTTACCATCTCTCTTACTAGTTTTAATGTTGGTGAGGCCTTCAAACAGTAATGGAAATCATTATTATTCTTAAAAATATATATTATATCCACTAACCTATACAGACTGACATTTACTCGGCTCCTATACAAGTGACAGCACAACCAGCAAATATCAACTGAACACCTACAATGTTTAAGATAGCATCTATGCTCATACAAGAGGGTAGAATGCAAAATAAATAAAAGGCATTACTCATTTAGCATTAGTAAGTGCAAAATACTTTTCAGTGTATGATTCCCTTGACAACTTCTAAACTAGATATTATGTACTCCATTTTTTTTTTTTTTTTTTGAGTTGGAGTCTCACTATCGCCCAGACTGGAGTGCAGTGGCCGCTCCCAGCCACCGCAGCCTTGACCTGCTGGGCTCCGGTGATCCTTCCGCCTCTCAGCCTTCCAAGTAGCTGGAACTACAGGTGCACACTTCCACGCCCGGCTAATTTTTTTGATTTACTGTAGAGATGAGGTCTTGCCTGCCCAGGCGGGTTTCGAACCCGCAGGCTCAGGCAATCCACTCACCTCAGCCCTTTAAAGGCACAGGATTACAGGCTGAGCCACCGAGCCCGGCTGTACTCCATTTTTTAAATCTAATGAAGTGGAGCCATCGAATACTAGGTTGAGCATCCACAATCCAAACACAAATTATCCTTAAAAGATAAGCCATTTCTACCACCCTCTAAGTCACTGGAATCCCAGATGGAGAGTGATGTTATTTATCCAAAGAGTTAACATTTCAGTGTCAATTTAGTGGATACTAATGATTTTACAAATTTGAAAGGAGTCTATAGAACTCTGCCATTCAACATGTCAATCTACAGACCAGCATCTCAGGCCCCATCCCAGACCCACTAAACCAGAACTTGCATTTTAACGAGATCACCCATGTGATTTCTTTGCACCGGCCTATTTCAGAAGCAATGCTAGTGAAGATATGCTTGAAAGAATGGCTAGGAGTAAGATCAAACCATGGGATGGAATGGAGACAGCACTCCAGGCTTTGCCAATAAGTACAGACACCCTATATAAGATGCTGTGTGCAGGTTGTGCATTACCATAGAAAATCAGATCACACGCTTTATATTCTGCAAGGTCCAAATTTCTTTAGCTTACTAATAATATCCACTAACCTCAAATTCAAAACGGTGAATCAAGCATAAACCTTTACTCAAGAGAACTGACACAGTGGGTCGTTTCTATGATGTCCTGCAACTCCATAGTAAAGCCTCAACTTTTTTTTTTAACCTTAAAACAAGTTTATACGATAAAGCACCTCAAAGAAAAAAAAAGCTAAAGAAATAAAAAGCCCCGCCCCCCCAAAGCAGGACACAAAATACATGGAAAAACAAATTAGGTGTCTGTGCTTCCCTCAAACTTTGACGTTCTTTGATTTTAACCCCTCCTGCCACACGTTTCTCCCCAAAGCTTACAAGAGCGCACATGACGGGAAGAGGTAAAAATGTAGTGCCAAACACCATAATAGCAGCCGTAGTAATAATCCGTAACTTGGAAAACAAGTTTTAGACAAAAGTCGAGTTCGTGCTACCCAGATTACAAGTTCACACCCCTGGATATTCGCTCACGATGAATCTTCAGTGGGCGACACACACTCGGGTTCCTTCGATTACCTCAAAGCCGGGCAGTTGTTGGCGAGGATGACCAACTTCGCTTTGCCTTGTCGGATCATCTTCAGAGTCTGTTTGTACCCCAACACGTACTTTCCACTTTTCATAACGAGTTGGAGTCTTGAGTTGATGGACTCCAGCGACTTTTTCTACGAAGCAAACAAACACGGACCTCAAGGACTCGCCAGCAACCATCTCTAAAGTGGATGCAGCTTTCTGGAGCCGAGTCCCTTAGTAAAGCTTCAGATGTCAAGGGCCCCAAGTCATTGAGAGAACCTCTCGGGTTCCCTTCGGAGCCCTCCAAACGCTAGTGGGTATGCTGTCGCCCCAGTGGGCTCCCATCTGCCCGCCCCGGCCGAGACTCATCTCTCCACGTGAATCGGCTTCCGTCCCTGGCCCGCCTCACTCACCGTCTTCTTTGCGGCCACCATCTTCCTGCCTTAGGTGCGGGACGGCCCCCAACCTAGAATATATAGAGAACAGGAAGCTTAGGATCCAGAGTTCCAAACGGCAACCCGCAGGGCTCCCCGCACTACTGAAACCTCGGCGGGGAGGCGCCCGCTCACCAAAAGCAGCCGCCAAGATGGCCGGGGAGCGAGAAAGGAAGGAGTTCCCACAACGCAAAACTCCTCACGGCCGAGCCAGGACGCTAGAACCGGAAGCGGAAGCAAATTGCAGCGGAAGTGGCGTAGCGAGAAGGGGCGGGCCTCCGCGTTGCTGTTGGTGCCGCTGGTTAGAATAGCGGTGGGTTGTTCGCTTTCCCCGGTTGCGGGCCTTAAACCTCTCAGCGTTGTGTTGCTGTTCTGTCGCGAACTGCTGTCTTCCAAGTCGGAAGAGCGTCAGACGTGGCGGGAGTTGGAGAAGCCGGCTGAGGGTGAGGTGGGAGGGTTGATGAGGAGATGCGGCGACTGCGACCATGGTCCTAATGCCACGGAACTCATTTCTGGCAGAAATACCCGCAGCACCTGCGTCCATCCTCCTCCAGGCGGGAGCAGCTGCGTTCGCTCCTTTGCGGTGGCCCGAGTTGCTGACCCTTTGGAGAACGGTGGCGCCCCGCGCGGGCTCCCCCAAACCCACCTTTTGTGGCCGTATCAGCATGAATTTGTGAGCCGAATTTGCAGAGAGAGCGATACGCAGGTTTATTTATTTTTGAGTCGGAGTCTCTGCCCCAGACTGTTGTGCAGTGGCACGATCACGGTTGATCGCAGCCTCCAACTCCTGGCTCAGACGATAGTCTCCCCTCAACCTCCCGAGTCGCTGGGACCACCGGCGCGTGCCACCACTCTCGGCTAATTTTTTGTTTGAGCTTTCATTTTTTGTAGATACAGTCTCACTCTGTTGCCCAGGCTGATCTCGAACTTCTGGGTTCAAGAAATCCTTCTTCCTCGGCTTCCCAAAGTGCTGGGATTATGTGCCTGAGCCACCATGCCTGGCCATCAGGTCTAATTTTTAAAATCTTTTTGCTGCCAGCCTCGGTGGCTCACGCCTGCAATCCCACCACTTTGGGAGACAGAGGCAAAAGGATTGCCAGAGCCTAGGAGTTCGAGACCAGTCTTTGCAATTTGGCTAGACCTCGTCTCTACAATAAATTTTTAAAAATCAACCTGGCGGTGGGGCCCCTGTGGTTCCACCTACTTGGAAGGCTAAGGCGGAAGGATTGCCTGAACCCAGCCGGTCAAGGCTGCAGTAGCTATGACCGTCCCGATGCAAACTAGTCTGGGCAACAGAGTGAGACTCCAACTCAAAATAAATAAAAATTAAAAAGTCTTCTTGCTGTTAAAGTTGGACCTTGGTATAAACGTCTGGTGACAGATCATTCAAAATATTAGGAGCTGCAAGCCCTCAACCCCTCACCAACTCCCACGAAGGTTAAAAAGTATTATCAAACCACTAGGTAAGCTATTTCTCCTGTCATATTGCCCTGTACAAGGGCTGGGCAAGAGAGGATCTCTCCCCCTCCTCCACCCAGACGCATGCTACACTACAACAAAAACTCCATGAGGTAATCATTGTATACTTTATCCTCAGGTTTACATATCTAGTGTATTGTTGGGGCTGAGACCAGAACCCCAGTAACTTAGGTATCTTCACAATTAAAGTTAATTCAAATGCATGCCCCACTTTGATTTGAAATTAGCCAGGCAACTAGAGTTAGATTATCATAGTACTTGCTTTAACATTTAGTCGTATGTTTACTTAACATTGTGCAAATCTAGCAGGGTGTGGTGGCTCACGCCTGCACGCCTGTAATCCCGACACTTTGGGAGGCTGAAGTGGGAGGATTGCTTAAGCCTAGGAGTTCGAGACCAGACTGGGCAACATAGACCTCATCATCACAAGAAATCAAAAAGCGGGCATGGTGGTGCACTCCTGTAGTCCCAACTACTACTGGAAAGACTAAGGTGGAAGGCACCTGAGCCCAGAAGGTCAAGGCTGTAGTGAGCCCTGATTGTGCCCTGACTCCAGCCTGGTGACAGAGTGAGAGCCCAACTCAAAAACAAAAAACAAAACAAGCATGATACAAATCAATATAATATTTGCCTTCCTCTGTTAATCTAGTTCTATGAACATAGTAAGCTCTGTTGGTTTTTTTTTACCTAATTTTAGAACTAACAAATGACTAGTCTTCTAAAGTTGAAGAAAATGAGACCTAAAGAAGTTATGATGCTGCTACCTGATAGGTTAATGGTTAAAACACCAGTGCCATTTTTAATCCTGTTTTCTGATCCATGTTTCATTTGTGGTTGTCATTCTACCTCAGATACTGAGACATCTACTTCAGAGCGCTTTCCACTATAGTTCGCTTCAGATGCAGTTTGGAAATGTTTAGAGTCTACCATTGACATTAGACATTCTAGTATGTATCTTTTTTCCCCATTATCATCGAACATTTTTGTTAGACACAATATGGAAAGAACTACACCATACCCTCAAGAGGCTAATAGTCATGTTGAGAAGACAAGACCTATAAAAAGACATTTAGTATAAATCTAACTGCCAGGTGTCTGTTTGAAATCATTGTTGCAGGTGTTGCATGTTCATTCTTCCACGTGCCAGTCCTGTGTTAGGTCCTGGTTATATAAAATGCCTTGAGAAAGTTTTCCATCTATGTCTGGAGAAGGATAGAAACAAATAGCATAATGTATTTATTCACCTTAACAGACATGTGACAGATTTAGCCTCTCTCCAGGCACTAAGAACATACAGAGATAAGACATGGTAAAAAGCCTACTATCTAGGTAAGCCTTCAAGGAGAGTAATATAAGAATAGTTTTTTAAAAAATAGACTTTCATGTACTTTTCACAAACCTGAAGACATGGTTTCAATAACCTCCTAGGTGTTATTATCCTTATTTTACAGAGGCTAAAACTAGAGAGAAAAGTGGTTAAATAGGCCAAGGTGAGAGGATTGCCTGAGCCTGTGGGATCAAGACCAGCCTGGACAACTTGGCAAGACCTCATCTCTATAATAAATCAAAAATTAACCAGGCGTGGTAGTGCCTGTGGTTCCAGCTACTTCGAAGGCTGAGGTGGAAGGATCACCTAGCCCAGCAGGTCGAGGCTGCAGTAGCCATGAGTGTGCCACTGCACTCCAGTATGGGTGACAGTGAGACTCCAACTCAAAAAATAAAAAATGTGACTAAATAACTTAGCAAAAGATTAGACAAGTCAGAGCTGAGATTTGTAGTCAGGTCCTCTGCAGGATTAACTTGAATTGGGGGAGGATGCATTCTAGTAAGGAGAGCAGAAGCAGAGTTCAAAGGATCTACTCCAAAGATGGCTAGTTCAGGTTGGCTGGAAGATAGCATTCAGGAGAGGGAGTAAGAAGAAAAGAATACAAAACAGAAGAGAAACAAGAAGATTTATATGTTATAATGTATATGTTATGTGTTATAATTTACTTTAGAACTATAAGAAATCATCTTATGCTTAAATTTTACTTCAATTTCTAGTCTTTCCCCAGAAATTCTTTTAGCGTTTCCTTGGAGATTCTCTGGCCATGACTGCAGAGCCTTTGGGAGAAGCTCCCTCAAATTTCAGCATTATTAGAAGCAGCACACTGATCAATGATTCCATTGCTATTGTGATCTAAAAACAATGAAGTCTCTAAAATTAAATAGCCACCAGAAAAACTAAAGTTAGATATAAAATAGGTTTGGGAAATGAGTACTCTTGAAGGACCAACTGACAGTGTGCCAAAACAAAATGAACAAACCTGTATAAGTATTTTGTATAAGGATATGCAGATATCACAGTGGCTTTCTCTGGAAAATGGGTTTGGAGGTTGGAAGAAAGTGGGGAAGCACTTTTCTTTTTTTCTTTTTTGAGTCAGAGTCTCACTCTGTTGCCCAGGCTGTAATGTGGTGGCATATTCACAGTTCACCTCAGCCTTGACCACCTGGGCACCGGTGATCCTTCCACCTCAGCATCCTGAGTAGCTGGGTCTACAGGCTCATGCCACCAGGTCCAACTAATTTTTTTTTTTTTGTAGAGATGAGGTCTCACTATGTTTCTGAGGCTGGTCTTGAATTCCTGGGCTCAAGCAATTTGTCCATCTTGGCCTCCTAAAGTGCTGGAATTACAAGCAAGAGCCACTACTCCTGGCAGGAAGCACTTTTTTTTTTTGAGTTGGAGTCTCACTCTGTCGCCCAGACTGGAGTGCAGTGGCCGCTCCCGGCCACCGCAGCCTCGACCTGCTGGGCTGTGGCGATCCTTCCGCCTCAGCCTTCCGAGTAGCCGGAACTACAGACGCGTGCTACCACGCCCGGCTGATTTTTTGATTTATTGTAGAGATGAGGTCTCGCCAAGTTGCCCAGGCGGGTCTCAAAGCCGCGGGCTCAGGCAATCTACTCACCTCAGCCTCCCAAAGTGCGGGCTTACAGGCTGAGCCACCGAGCCCGGCTAGGAAGCGCTTTTTAAATTTTATTCCCTTCTGTGCTGAATATTTGAATATTTTGGCCCAGTGATTCAACTTTTAGGAGTCTATCCTACAGAAGTAGTCACAGAGTTGCTTAAAGACATGAGAACAAGGATGTTTATTTGAGCATTATTTTTAATGGCAAAAAGTGAGAAACAACATCAAATGCTCATCATTCTTAACCAATAGACAGTCATGCACTGCATAACATTTCAGTCAATGATAAACCATATATGACAGCAGTCCTGCAAGATTATAATACCTTATTTTTACTGAACTTTTTCTATGTTTATGTACACAAAATATCATGTGTTACAACTGCCTGTAGTATTCAGCACAGTAACGTGTTATACATGTTTGTAATCTCAGAGCATAAGTGGCCTAAGTGTGTAGGAGGTTATACCACCTAGATTTGTGTAAGCCTAGGTGTTGTGTAGGATGTTCACACAACAATGAAATTGCCTCATGATGTACTTTCTCAGAATGTATCCTCATCATTGAGTGATGCATGACTGCGTATGTTTGTATAGATATAGAAAAAAGTCTGAAAGCTAATCAAAACCTGTATCTAAGAGGTAAGAAGAGTGAGTGGTAAGTAGGGGAATTTTTTTCTCTATGTTTTTCATTATTGCTTGAAATATTTTATGGCCTGCATTACGAGTTTGAACTCCTAGACCCCACCCAGGCCTATGGAAGAAATCTCTGGGT